GAGAGCTGATGGTAGAGGTGGTGATTCTCGGGCGGCCATGAGCGAGTTTGAAACAGGCGGGTGGTCGACGAATGGGGTCGAGACCTGGTCGAGCGAGGCGCTGAGGTAGAGTTCTATAGCGAGAGCTTGGAGAAGTGGGTCTGTGGTTGGTGGCGGTGCCGGGTAGAGGTGGTGGGTTTGGGTGCAGCAGCAAGTGTTGTAGGAGCTGCTGCAACAAATGGCAGTGATGAGAGGGGTGTGAGAGGGAGAGGGAAGCAGGTCGAAGTTTGCAGGTAGATCCGAGAAATGAGGGCGGATGAAAAAATTCAGGTGGCTTTGAGGGGTTCTGGGCACGTCGAGAGAGAGAAGTAGGGAGGAAGTAGACTTCGGGTGGGTTAGGGTGTGGGTCGGGGGGTGGGTCAGGGGTGGATCCCCCATACTTGCCCAGAGAGAGAAGAAAGAGAGAAAAGAGAAAGGCAAGAAAGAGAGAGGAAAACTGACAGAGAAATATAGGGGTGGATCCCCCATATTTTTAATTTTATAATATTTAATTATTAAAAATATATTTAATTATTTTTTAATCCAGATGGATTAGTGAATGGCCCCCGTATGTAGCCACGTCAGCACTTAACAGAGAAATTAACAGAAAAATTGATGGATGTATGACATTGGCACAAATTCGTAAGATGAGGTATGACATTGTCAATTTTAAAAGATGAGGTATGAAAGTGTCATGACACCAATAGTTGAGGTAGTTTTTTGTACTTTACCCTAAATCATATGATCTATCTATTTAGTTATAGAAAATACAAAATGTTTGGAGACTTTAGAATTGCAGGAGGTAATTGCAATCTCAGTGAGTCCAAAAGGGCAAAATAGAAGTGGAGCTCAATCTGGTCCATCTCAGTTCCAGAAGAATTGAAATTCTAAGGGAAAGAAATGGGATTCAAAACCCAAGTTTCAACAGAAATTTCTTGGTAGTCTTGCACAAAATGCATATTCATCACAGTCAATGGGTTAGGCAGTTACAAAACCACAGTGTAGAGTATGCTCTAAATTTCACTTTGGTAAGTGTAGATATAAGGGGAAGCCTAAATGCTACAACTTTGAAAAGTTTGGACACTGGGCTAGATAATGCCTTGTAGGCAAACCAGTGCAAAAGGAAAACAGTGCTAATCAAGTAGAGGTGACAGGGAACTTATTTTATGCCAATAGCACTATCTCTGGATCAGTTGTCAATAGTGAATGGTATATTGACAGTGGTTGTAGCAACCGCATGACTGGAAATGAGAAGCTATTGGTTGGTATAAGGACAAATGTGATAGGCAAAGTACAAATGTCAACTGGTGAGCTTATGAATGTAGCTAAAATGGGCACTATAGTAATTGATACTAGCAAAGGTATAAAGTACATCAAAGAAGTAATGTATCTACCTGGGTTGAAGGAGAACTTGCTAAGTGTGGGATAGATGGATGAGCATGGGTATTACTTGTTGTTTGGAGGTAAAATGTGTAGCATTTTTATGGTCCTTCACTGGAATGCCTAGTAATTAAAGTAGAAATGAAGAGGAATAAATGCTATCATTTAGCACTATTAGCTAATGATCATATAGCTCTGAAAGCAAGTATGTCTCACTCTACTTGGACCAGGCACAAAAGGCTAGGCCATTTGCATCTAAGGGGGTTAAAACAATTCAAAGAGAAGGAAATGGTGCATGGACTTCTATACTTAGAAGAAGTTGATGAAGTCTGTGAAGGTTGTCAACTTGGAAAGCAGCATAAAGAGTGGTTTCTAAAGAATCAGGCATGGAGAGCAAGCAATCCCCTGTAGTTAGTTCATGTGGACTTATGTGGGCCTATGCAAAATGAGTCCATTGCTGGTAACAAGTATTTTATGCTTCTTGTAGAAGACTGCACAAGAATGATGTGGGTTTACTTTCTTAGATACAAGTTAGATGCATTGAATTGTTTTAAAAAATTCAAATCTATGGTAGAGCTACATAGTGGTTTTAGAGTAAAATGCCTAAGAAGTGACAGATGGTGTAAATTCACATCCTGTGAGTTTAACAAGTTGTGTGAAGGTGAAGGTATTCAAAGACAACTCTCTATGGCCTATACTCTACAATGAAATGGAGTGGTAGAGAGAAAGAACAGAATTGTAGTTGAAATGGCAAAAGCCATGCTTCATGATAAAGGATTACCTTACTATTTGTGGGCATAATCTGTACACACAACTGTCTACATACTGAATAGGTGTCCTACAAGAGCTCTCGAAGATATAACTCCATTTGAAGCATTCAGTGGAAGAAAACCAGGGATTGCACATCTTAAAATCTTTGGTTGCTTGTGTTATGTGCACATATCAAGTGAATTGAGATAGAAACTAGATGCAAAGAGTATCAAGGGCATATTTGTAGGTTATGCAACCTGTGAAAATGGGTATAGGGTGTATGATCCTATCACTAAGAAGCTTATACTCTCGAGGGATATTGTGTTTGATGAAAATGCAACTTGGGATTGGACGCAGGTCTTTGAGAATTATGCAACTGTGATCAATCATGATAAGTTATCTGAGCTGCCTAAAGCTACATCACTAGAGACAACTCTTGGAAGTCATGACTATGCTCAGTCACTAAGTTTGTCATCTCGTCATGAATCAACAAGTGATGTAAGTAGCAGCATGAGAAAATCTCAAGCATTTGATCATACTCCATTGAGGTTGAGGAACCTAGATGATGTTCTAGCTCAATGCAATCTCTGCATTATAGAACTTGAAAAGTTTAATGAGGCATCGAAAGATGAATCATGGATGAAGGCTATGAATAATGAATTGTCAATGATTGAAAAGAATGCAACATGGGAGCTAGTGGACATACCAATTGATAAACCTATAATTGGGGGTTAAGTGGGTGTTCAAGACCAAGCTTAATCTTGATGGATCAGTGCAGAAGAATAAAGTAAGGCTGGTAACCAAGGGCTATGCTCAGAAACCAGGTGTTGATTATAATAAGACCTTTGCACATGTGGCTATATTGGATACAATTCGAACACTAGTTGCAGTGGCAACACAGAAGAGTTGGAAATTGTAGAAACTCGATGTTAAGTTTTCTTTCCTAAACAGAGTATTAGAAGAGGAGGTTTATGTAGATCAGCTATATGGTTTTGTGGTCAAGGGGAGTGAAGACAAAGTGTACAAGCTTCATAAAGCTTTGTATGGTTTGAAACAGGCACCAAGGGCCTGGTATAGTGAAATAGACACTTACTTTGCTCAATGTGGATTTGAAAAGAGCCAAAGTGAGGCCACTCTTTATACCAAAACTAGAGAAGAAGAAGAAATCCTGATTGTGTCTATATATGTAGACGATATTGTGTACACATGGAATAGTCAATCAATGCTAGAGGAGTTCAAGAGAGACATGATGACAAAGTACGAAACGACAGATTTGGGACTCTTGCATCACTTTCTGGGAATGAGAGTCATTCAAGCTCATTCAAGTATTTTTAGTCATTAAAGAAAGTATGATGCATCTTTGTTGAACAAATTTGGCTTGAGTGAGTGTAAATCTGTTGCTACACCTTTGGTTACAACTGAGAAGCTTAGCAAAGATGATGGCAGTGGTCCAGCAAATGAAGAACAATATAGGAAGATCATGGGAAGTCTATTGTATCTCACAGCCACAAGGCCCGATGTGATGTATGCAGCTAGTTTACTTACAAGGTTCATACACTGCCCCACCAACAAACATTATGGAACTGCTAAATGAGTTCTCAGGTATATCAAAGGAACACTTAACTATGGTTTGGAGTATGTGAAAGGAAGAAATGCAATTCTAATTGGTTACTATGATAGTGACTGGAGTGGTTCAATTGATGATAGTATAAGTACCTCAAGGTATGCTTTCTCCTTTGGTAGTGGAGTTTTTTCTTGGGCCCCAGTTAAACAGAATTGTGTTGCACTTTCAACTGCAGAAGCATAGTATATTAGTGCATCAAAGGCAACTACACAAGCCATTTGGCTCAGGTTTGTTTTGGAAGATTTTGGTGAATTTCAAATTGAGGCTACTCCACTTCAGTGTGACAATACTGCTGCAATTGCCATCACAAAGAACCCTGTGTTTGACAAGAAAACTAAGCATATCGATCGAAGATATCACTTCATCAAGGATGCTCTACAAGAAGGAATCATCGATCTGGTATACTGCCCTACAAATGAGCAACTGACAGATATCTTCACAAAGTCATTGGCTAAGGATCGATTCTACTATCTCAGGGATAAACTTGGAGTGAAATCAGCTCAAAACTCAAAACTTAAAGGGGAGTGTAGAATTGTAAGTAAAGAGCTGATTAGTAAATAAGAAGCCTTGAATGTTAATTGTGTATGCACTTAGTCTTTTAGAATGACAAGTGTGAGGTTCCAATATGCAAGGCTAAAATAGCCATGTGTAGTGATCCTATAAATTAGCTAGATGTGTGGCTGAGATCAAATGTGATGTGTATGGATCCAACTAAGGCTAACAGTCATGAAATGCATGTGTGTTGTGCTCATTTTTCCATTAAGAGAAATATATTGCTCTCTGCAATTTTTGCAAGAGAGAAGAACATTCATTCCTTTTGCATCCTTCAATCCTCTCTCTATCTCCATATCGCATAACTCAGATAAATCAAGAACACTAACAACCTGGGCTTGCTCATTGGACAACTGCAGTTGCCTACCATTCACAAAGCGAATACACAAACCTAGCCCCTCATAGAGAACGCCTCATGATCCCTCCAAACATCTATGCTAGCCATGCTTTTTCCTTTCATGTAATCGATATTGGGGGAGGGGAGATCAAACTAATTAGACTTCGAGCGCATCAGCTAAATGCACTTGTCAAAGTAAAAACTTATTAGGTGCAAAAAGAAGTACAATAAAGAGGATATGAAACCAGACGGTGCGGAAAGAACTGAAGAAATAGCATAAGTCTCATAAGGACTTTTATTATATCATCTACAACCAAAAAACGAAAACACGAACACGAAAGAAAAATAATACATCATCTTTAAAATAATAAAAAAACCGTACTTGTTGTATCAATCCTAGCCTACATTATTTTCTTTGATTAAAGGGACTTGAATGCAGTCAACTTATTCCTTGCTCTTTTTATCAATGATAAGTTTGCTACTGTAAACCATACAAAGCACGTATTCCATCAATGTCATCCCTAGTCAAATCACGTTTTACAATCCCATAAGAAAATTCGGGATACATGATCGCATCGGGGAGGTCAAGATCGTGATCAAGTCCTAGAAGATGACCGATTTCGTGCACAGCGACGGATTCCAAGTCTAGCTCATCGGGTCCTGGATTGGCACTCCACTTCTCATCTGCATCAAAATGGAAATTACCACCTGTAGGCGGATTCGCGTGTGCTAAAACCCCTTTGAAGCCGTCAAATGGGGCCGTATCTCCATGGGCGCCCCGGTGAAAGCCAATGGTAATGTCAGCTGATGAAGTAGCAGGCACTTCCTCAAATGTGAAACTGGTCACTTGTGCCCATCTCTGAAATGCTTGTGCACATATAGACCTCACATTCTCTGTGCCGGGGACTTGGCTTGCACTCGAAGCAAAGCGATATCTCAAATGGGTTTTCGTAGGTGGCCATCTTAGCGGACCAGGGAAGAAGAACTCATAATGAGAAACTCCATGGATGGACTTGAGCTTGCGGTTGTGCTTTTTGGTTCCCTTTCGCGTGCCATTGACAACATCTGGCACACCACATCTTGGCACCATCATTCGTTTCACCGTGGTAGTGTCTAGACTTCCGGTTACATTTAAGTGGAAGCTTTTTTGGTATGACTTGATGGCGGACTCTAGAAGGTCATCAAACTCATCGTCGTTGGCGTGTTTTGAGTGATCATAATTCAAGTAGCCGAATTTGGTGAAGTATTTTTTGAGCTCTTGCAACCCACTGACGTTTTGACCCTTGTGGCATCCCTCCAAGTGTTGGATGAACTTGAAGGAATCATGCTGATGACCATGGGGATCAGTAGGTTTTGCAAGAGTTCTCTGAGACAGCAACACAAAGATCAAGAAGCAAAAGACTACGCAAACCGAGGCGGTTTTCGAGGCCATTGCTGGCATTTTGTTAGCTAGATAAAGAGATGAATGAAGGGTTTGTTGTGTTATTATGAGCTCCCTTTGCCTCTATTTGTAGATGAGCATTGCAGCATATAAAAAAACTTTGTGCCTATTACACGTTATGGGACTTGGAAATTTTGTTAAACGGAGTCAATATTTAGACTTTTATTGGTGTGATACGGTCTTTTTGCTCGTCATTGTCTTTAGGCCAAGACTGCTAGAATTAATTAATTTGGTCCGTTGATGGACTGAGTCATTCAGTTCTACTTTCAATATAGCTTACATATATATGTGTGTGTGTGTGTTGTTTATTAAAGGGATACTTTGGATTTGGTCCCTAATCCTTAACATTCTTTTATTAAAACCTTAATAATATTCAAAGTTTGATTGAAGTCCATTGACTTTGTACACCTCATTATATTACTATTACTATTTTTATTTTTATAACTTTGACATTAATTGTTTGATATTTTATGAGATTTATAATCTTATAAATTTAAAATTCCTCATTATAATACTATTATAAACGATTATAATAAAAAAATTCAAAACATTTTGATTTAATAAATGGATAAAAACTATGTAAAAATAAGAAATAATAAATGGCAAAAGAATGTATCCATAGTGTTAAAAAAATTGGTACATTTTACAAAAAATAGGTACATTTCACATATAACAAAGTGGTACATTAATAAAGAAGAATGGGTACATTATAAAACTAAAAAGAAAATGCTACAAATGAATTTTTAGGGTACAGATAAAAGATTAAAACATTATGAGTACAAATGAATTTTAAAAAAATATAGGTGCTAAAAGAAATTAATACATGGGTACAAAATAAAACTAAAAAGAAAATACTACAAATTTTTTAAAAAATGTTGCAAATTAAAAGTGGGTACGAACTAAAAATATACATATATGATATATGATACAAAGTTTAGGCATAAAACATAAATATACCATATGTAATTTTTCTATCGTTGATTAAATATACAATGTCACATGACGGTATACACATGGGTACAAATACAAATAAAATTTTAAAAAATTGGGCACAAAAAGAAACTAATATATGGGTACAAATTAAAAATGAAAAGAAAATTGGTACAAATTAAAAAATATTTGCAAATTAAAAATAAGTACAAATTAAAAATAAAAATATATGATAAAAAATTTAGCCATAAATATAAATATACTAATTGTAACATTTTTAACACTAAATGAATATATTTAAAATAAAAATATTTTATTATTCAAATAATTAATGATGTTATTAATACCCAAGGATCTTAATCAAAAATTGAAAATGAATAGGATTTTAATCAATAGAGTAACAAAAAAAAGGATGTGAACCTAATTTTCTTTTTATTAAATATAATCCTAGACACCAAATTAACGAGGTTTTAAACTCTCTACTCTATGCATGCATGCATGCACAATCTGCAGTACGTCAACCTTAAGACAATGTTTGTTGTGCTGAATATTCTAAGAAAGATAATTTGGTAAGTCATGACTTTTGTAGAAATTTTAGACATCGTTTTGTCAAATGAGTTTAATGTACGCGTGTTTTATGTATTCTTGCCAAAGTCGAAGTCCTTTCCTTAATCCTTTTTTTTTCTGTCTGAACATAGTTATCAAAGTAGAGAAATTTGAGCCAATGGGGCTTTAGACTTTTGAGAAGTTTGAATACGTTTATATTCGGTCCACGCGAATATGATCATGTAGTTTTACTAATTCATGTATTATAATTATATGGACTCAATTATTCTTCCCCCATGTATCTATGTCAGAAAATTTGATCCAACATGCTGACTTGGGCCGAATGGATCCCTTCTTTCTTATTTGAATGTCAGGAGGGCGCCGCATGAAAACTTGATGCATGTCCAATTTTTTTAAGCCAATACAAACAATAATTAAATGTATAGTGAGTATAGTCATAATTATGATGGTGAGCAAAAATGCTCTCTTTCTTTTTTTGTTTGTTGTGTAAACACAGTTATATATCTAGAGAAGTTCAAGCAATCAATATTTAGCTCAATTGACTAAAAAAATGTTCTTTCTCTTCATCGACAAGGTGAGGAAGAAACCAATCTCAATACTAATAGCAAAAAAAAGCTTATTTACAGTAATATGCCCTTGAAAGTGTTCGCAAATCCCTCTTTGCCCCTCCGAAATTCACTTGGGTTGTCACAACTGTTAACGTGAGTCTTAATTAAGGATGTTAAGTTTATGTAAATATTTTAGGAGTCCTTTAGTAGGAAGGATATATTTTGTGTCCTTTTATGTTTCCTTGTGAAACAAGGATTGTGTATATATATTCTTAATCTTGTGAATAATATGAAGTAAGTAATTCAGCCATATAGTTCTATTTGACATCCGAGCCTGGTTTGCCGTAACCCTAACTGTAAACTTTTTCATCATGCCGCTGCTGTGTCTGCAAGAACTGTGCTCGTTGTTCTTGTTGTGTTGTCGTGCGTGTGTTGCTGTGAGTTTGCTACAATACAACAATGGTGAACGATAAGGAATGAGGCTCAGAACAAAAACTTGGGGTGGAATTGCTGGTTCAACCAGTCAGTCTGTCCTTAACTTTGTGGTAATTCAAAATGATGCTTTTGTTGTGTCGAGTGCTGTCAAAATCAATGGATCGAACTATCCCTTTTAGTCCAAAATGTTGGAGATGCATATCGCTGGACACGGTAAGAAAGGGTTCGTGACAGGAAGTATCAAAGAGCAAAATGAAGGCAATACTGAGTATGAGATTTGGGAGACGGGGAATGCAATTATGAAAAGGTGGTTGATTAAATCTATGGATCCTATTATCATAGGATTTTTCGTTCACCTTCGCGCAACCAAAGAAGTATGGGAAGAGGTTGCTCGAACATAATACGATGGCCTTGACATCTCCCAAATTTATGAACTGAAGGTTAAGTCATTTCGACTTCGTAAGGAAGAACATCATGTTGGTGTTTGCTACACTGATCTCAAGTTCGTGTGGCAAGAGTTAGATCAACGCATGCCAATTAAGGTGAAGTGTGCTCATGATTTGAAGACACTTCGAGAAAAGATCCAACTGGATCGAGTTCATGCTTTTTTAGCAAGTCTAGATGATATCTTTGATAAGGTTCATAGTGATGTTCTACGAACTTAACCTTTACGATCCGTTGAAGAAGTGTTCTCTATGGTTAGGCATGAGGCACAACGCCATGCCACCATGATGGGTGGGAGTAACACAATCAGCCAAGGATGGGTACCTGCGATGGCTATGGTTTCTCGACCATCTAAGGGTTTTCGTTCTAATGGGTCTTCAAATTCATCTATGAATTTCGTCCTTTTACTAGAGAAAACAAAGATGGTTTGAATGGTTAAACCAGCCACACTGAGGATACATGTTTTGCGAAGCATGGAGTACTCGAATGTTTTCGGAGTTGAAGAAACGCTTGCGAGCAAATAAGCGTGCAAATATTAGAACAAGCAGATGATGTGCATCCTTGGTTGCTGCCACACCGAGCAATACTAAGGAAGCCAAGCTACCCTTTAATGATCTGAGTCAGTCTCTGTTGACTCGTACTGGTGAATCATCAACTAATACAAGTATTGCAGGACGTGTTCTCTTAGCCTCCGATACTGATCATCATACAGGTTGGATTCTCGACTCTGGTGCAATAGATCATATGACTTATGATAAGACTTTGTTTCAATATATGACATCTCATATAAAGTGCATAGCTACTACCAATGGTACTATTGCTGACACGCCCTGAGGGTGACGCAAGCCATTTAATGAATGCATATGTTGGGAACATGTAAATAATGCGTATAAATTTCATTCAAACTGCATAAAATAAAATACTAATATTCAACCCACATCGTTGGAAAAGAACTACTAGGGTACGGTATGATGTTTATGAATTGTAGCAAGATAATAGAATGTGACTATTCATTTCTGCATGAAGATAGTGATCATGCATGACATGTTCAGAGCATACATCTAATTCAAAATACAATGGAATGTGTTATTACAATGATGTCAAAGCAGAGATGATGGCACAATATCACTGGTAGGGGAAAGCCTCATAGCGCGGGTCGTAATTCCCATTCCTATGTTCAAGGGGGCGCAAAACAAACATGAGTGGACCAAGTTGATATATATATATATATATATATATATATATATATTATTGAAATAGTTATCAACATACTAACCCCCAAAAGTTTTATGAAAATTCAATAGCATAATATATAATAGGTTTTTCTGAAAACCCTAGCATGCCATAAAACCTTTCATAAATCATATGTCGTATATAGTGTGCTAACTAGTGTTATCATAATCGACCCGTAGGCCCCTACATCTCCTGGCCCGTAGGCCAATATATAAATCTTTAATCGACATGTATGCCCTTACATCACCCGACCCGTAGGCCAATATAAGTATAATCGCCCGTAGGCATAGCAGTGACCACTAGATACGCACAAAACCATTGAGTATACTATTTCCAAACATAAGTACATATATCTCAAAATCATCTTCATAGCATATAGTCATCCATCATATATACTATAAAGAAGTGTGAAGAAAACATGTTCATAAATAGTATATAGTCATCCATCATATATACTAGAAAGAACATTAGTTCGATAAAATATGGTATTCCAAAATATTCTCAGTATAGCATGATGATCAATAAGTGTAACTCCAATTTACTTATAAAACATTTCACAAAATGTAATCATTAAATCATGCTTTTCATGTATGCATTTCTACTATTAAAAAATGCATTTTAGAAGGAGTCCACTCACAGATACTCCATCATCGTAGAGTCGTACAAAATAGGAATGAGGGAATCGCCGCTAATTGCACCTAAGCACATAAAGAGTACAATTAACAAAACTATACTCAAACGATTGAATTTCAGAAAACGGACGTCATAAACGAATTTGGGATGTCGAAAAACATAAAAAGGGACCTCGGGTATAGTCACGCACCACCCCACGTGCGCTTATGCACTGCCATAAGGTG